AATTCACAAAAGTAACCAATACCCGTATGTCACTGTTTTAAAATTCCAAATTGAGGGACGTCTGTTGGGAAAATGGCTTTGTGGCTGAAGAAAGGGAAGAGATTTCTGCCAGCAAACACATCATTCATCACAAGGTGCTTTTGTGTGAAGCGCAAATCCAAACACTGATGAACTGTATTTTATTTTTTAATGCTGAATAATAGAAAAGTTTTAAAAAATAAATTATCAACAGTTTGCTGACAAAAATGCACGGAGGGTAACAGGACCAGTTTTTAAGAAAGTTCACTTGGTTGATTCCTGAGACAAAGAGATTTATCTTTTGAGAAATTGAGTAGATTGGGCCTACAGTCATAGTGAGAGTTATGGAGATATAGAGCTGAACAGAATGGAAACAGACCCTTCGGTCCAACTTATCCAAGCTGACCAGATATTCTACATTAATCTAGTCCGATTTACCAGCATTTGGCCATATCCCTCTAAACCCTTCCTATTCATGTACCCATCCAGAAATCTTTTAAATGTTGTAATTGTATCAGCCTCCACCTCCTCAACTGGCAGCCCATTCTATACACGCACCACCCTCTGGGAGAAAAGGTTGGCCCTTAGGTGCCTTTTAAATATTTCCCCTCACCTTAAAGCTATGCCCCCGTGTTTTGGACCTCCACACTCTGGGAAAAAGATCTTGGCTATTCACCCTATCCATGCCCCTCATGATTTTTTAAAAACCACTATAAGGTCATAGAGTCTTGGAGTCCTAAAGCACAGAAACAGATCCTTCAGTCTGGCCAGTCCATGCTGGAAAATAATCCCAAACTAAACTAGTCCCATCTACCTGCTCCAGACCCATATCTCTCCAAACATTTCCTATTCATGTACTTGTCCAAATATCTTTTAAATACTTTAATTGTGCCCACATGCACTGCTTCCTTAGAAAGTTGATTCCACACGTGAACCACCCTCTGTGTAAAAAATTTGTCCCTCAAGTCTTTTTTAAATCTTTCTCATCTCAACTTAAAAATGTGCCCCTAGTCTTGAAATCCCCCACCCTAGGGAAAAGATAACTACAATTAACTCTATCTATACGCCTCATTATTTTAATGACTTCTATAAGGTTGCTTCGCAACATCCTATGCTCCAGTCATCATTGGTATTCAGAAGAATGAAAGCTGATTTTATTGAAAAGTATAGTATTCTGATGCAATTTGACAGTAAGATGCTGAAAAGGTGCTTCCCCTCATGGAAGAGTCTAGAGCTAGAGGATACAGTTTAAACATAAGGGATCTTCCTTGCAAGATCGAGATGTGAAAATGCTTCTCTGCCCTTCAACCATGAGCAGTGGAGGGTGACCATTGTGCATACTCAAGGCTGAATTGGAGAGATTTTGATCTACAAGGGAGCCAGGGATTCTGAATTAAGATTGGATAGACGAGGCTTAAGTTTGCAAAGTAAGAAATGACTTGATTGAAGCATAGAAAAGCCTGAAGGTCTTAACAAACTAGATATGGAGAGGATATTTCCTACTTTGAGAGAATTAAAAATTAAGGATCACTGCTTCAAAATTAGGGGTAACCCATTTAAAAAGAGATCAAGTGAAATTATTTCTGTCACAGGGTCATGACAGTCTGGAATTCTCTTCATGAAAAGGCAGTGGAAGAAAAGACCTTAAATATATTTAAGGCAGAAGTGGATCGATTCTTAGTAAGCAAGGGAGCGAAGGGTTATAAGAATTTAGCAAGAATGTGGATTTGAGGTTATATAACCAGATCAACCATGATCTGATTAAATCTCTAAGCAGGCTTGACAGGCCGACTTCTACTCCTAGTTCATCTACTCGTATTGGGGGTAGTCAGGAAAGTAGAGTTAAGGACACACTCAGATCAGCCATGAGTTTATTGAATGACAGGCTATAACTAAATAATGCCATTTTTGAACTATCTTTTAGAAGGTTGAAGAGGCAGAGATGAAAGAATACGCAGCATTAGTTATTGAGTGATCAAGCCAAATATTTGATGAACCTCAATGTTTCCTACATTGCGAAATGGCAGCATACGTCTACCAGAAAGAAACTTAAATAGATTTGAGTTGCAGAGATATCAGGAAAAAAAACTAAAGATTTGCATGATTTGATGTTCAGGGAGCATTTATCATTAACTTTCCCTGAAGCAGTTGAATATTTATTATGGGAGTCCCACGTGAGATGAATTGTACATGGTTTATGAAAGCAGCAGACTTGTTAGTCTTTTGCTTCTTATTGTTGGAAGACTGGGCCTAACGGTATTATCACTGAACTATTAATCCAGAGACCCAGGTAATATTCTGGGGACCTAGTCTAAAATCCTTCCTAAAATCAGTGAAAACTTTAAGAATTAAGAATCAAAAATGACCGTGAAATTAATTGTCGGGGAATAAAAACCCATCCTGTTCACTTATGTCCTTTCGGGAAGGAAATCTAGTCTCCTGACCTGATCTGGCCTACATGTGACTCTGAACCCACAGCAATGTGGTTGATTCTTTTATTCAGGATGGACAATAAATGCTAGCCTCCCAGTGAGATCCACATCCCATGCAATAACATGAGAAAAAAGTGAAAATCATTGATATACAGTTGCCTCTATGTATCTGAAAGCCAGGATTACACCTTCCAGCTGTGAGATTCCTTGGTTATGGTTTCCCAGTCAAGCCACTAACTAAACTATAGAATGGTGTCATATTAAACCACAGAAGTAGCACATCAAGTCTCACTGTATTGCATCTAATTTGAGAGCAGGAGAAGGAAATGTGAAGAATAAGTGTCAAAGGTAATGTTGAGGGTATTGAAAAAACACTGACTGACCACACACAGGAGATGAAACAACAACATCAAAGTACATGCCCTGCAGGCTATAACAGTTCATGTAGACACAAGCATTCTTGTAAAGAAATGATGCATGGTGATTGGACATAAATAAAAGTTGCAAGTGCTTCGTTGTATTTGCCAAATAACATGTGATTGTCTCTGCTTCATTCCAGCTCTGTAATAATTTCTTTAATTCTGACTCATGTGCCAAACAATAGAAAAGATTATTTAACAGTATCTGTTAACATGAATTAACTTCTGACTGAACCTGTTTTCTCCATCTGAATAGAACATTAATTAAATTGGACACCTGCATCACGCACTGTGGGTTGTCTTAATCTTCCAGTTAATTTACTGCATTGAATGTCCTAGAGGCAGGATTGCAGTGATGTCAAACATTTAGAGATAATGCGGTGAACCCAATCTAATCTTGAGCTATTATCATTCACAATGCTGAAATTGTAGGAAGAACATTTCTCTCACAAAAGTGTGGGATGGGGGTGATATCTGGGATTGGAGTATCATATAACCTCCCTCCAATCAGGAATGAACTAGGAGGTGATGGGGTCATAGTGTAGAAAGGTGTGAAGTGGGAAGCCCCATCCCCTTCCTCACTGTCCCCATTAAATTAGGGAAGAAAGAGTTAAGGACTAATGTTCCACCAGAAGGTCAATTGAGTCACTTAAATGGCCAATTAAGGGTTCACTTCAGCAACTTTGCCCAGCAGCATTCAGTCCATCAACAGGATTTGCTGCCTATTTAAAACCAAAAATATGATTTGAGAAGTTAAAAATCCTGCCTGTGTTTTTTTTTCAACAGAGAGGATTGTTTAAATTAAACTCCTTTTGTGTGCATTATTCTGAACAAGTTGTTCACTGCATAGTTTTACTTCAAGAACTTGATTTAAATATGTCATTGGACTAAAAGTGCCAAAAGAGTGAAGTATCATTTCTTAATGTTATCCAATTAATTTGTCACAAATCTCTTGAAACTTTAATAATTTATTGAGATGTTCATTACCAATTCAAAAGAGTGAGGCCTTATACTCTGCACTGAACTTATTAGCTCACAAGGTCAAAATGTAATTCCCAATTTGCACTGAATTTATTGGCTCAGTTGGGTTCTTGCTTCTTAGCACTGCTTTATGATGCCCATTAGAAAGAACATGCTGTGGACGTTGGATACATTAGGGAATAGAACTCAGAGAAAACAGAGTCTAGCAAATCATGCAATCACTTAGAGCTCTGCAACTTCCTCAGACAAGGGGATAAAATGGATCAGGAAGCAATAATGGTTGATTATGCATTTCAGGGATTTAACATAGGGCATATTAAATACTTAGCATGTATTTGACTTGTGCACATTTGTGCGTTACAAATAATGGGAGTGAATATCGACAGGGATTCTTTTCATTCCTTGATAACAATTTAGTGGGGTTTTCATGGCTCAACTGAGATGTTAAGGTGTTTAAAATAGTTTGGTGCTGTCATAGAGAGAAAAAAATTTCAAATCGATCAGCTGCACACTCACATATTCATATTCCCATGGTTTAGAAAATAATTATTCAAGGTTAATTGTGAGATTTTTATGTTCATGTTGTTGAAGCACAATTACAACATTCACTCAATTTTCAGTCAGCTCAACTCCACTAGTATAATAGAGTAGAAGGAGGAATTAATTTTATATTACAGACTGATTCTTTGGGTCTGTGTTTCAAGCTCAAATTAACAGCCAAACAGGCTGAAGGTTATTGATTTCTCAGCTGTGAGTGGTGCTGCGTGCGTGGAGTACATCATCAGAATGTCAACTTTTTTGACCAATATTGCGGAATTTTCCAAATAACTTATTAGTCTTTTCTCTTTACCAACAAAATGTGTCCACTTGACAGATGACTTTTCATTCTGTTTTGTAAAGTAACAGTGAGATTTCCCTCTTATTTATGATGCGTGATAAAGCTCACCATTGTGAAGCTGCATAGTGCAGATACTTATGAAAAATCATACCATGTAATCTTATGTACTACAGTTTGATTTAGAATTAGATGACGAAAGCATATGGGAGATTTCCAAGTCAAAACATAATAGTGATTGTGGTTCGAGTAACTTTGCTTTTCTTCTTCCCCATGGTGTTTTTTTGTAGCTAAAGTTTGCTTTTATTAATGCAGGTGCAGTCATTCAGTTTCTGAATTTTTCGACTGAAGCCAATCATGACTTCTTGGAGATTCGAAATGGACCACATTACGCTAGTTCTTTAATTGGACGGTTCAGTGGGGCAGAACTCCCACCAATGCTACTCTGTACTACCCATGATACCATCATCAACTTCTACAGTGATCATTCTGAGAACAAGCAAGGATTCAAACTTACCTACCAAGGTAGTATTAGCAGAAACAAGTTTTGATCAGAATGGGGAAACAAGCAATTTTTTTTGTTTTGTGCTCACTTAAATATATTTCAGAAGTTGTATAACCACTGACTACATTGTTGGAAGGTTTTATTTGTCTCTTAAGGGAGTAAAAATATGAAATGAACTTTCAGCAGAAACCCCATGGATTGTGCTATGCTGCGCTGTGTTTGAGTAAAGTTCCAATATAATACTTCATTGCAAGAATGCAACACAAATAGATAATTAAAATAATCAATTTACAAAATTCTGAGTCAATATTTAAAGAGAATATTGTCCTCCACAGACCTGTTTGGTCTTTCTTTATTCTATTTGTTTTTCATTTTTAAAAAAACCACAACAGGATAAATATAAAGTGGAACTTTTAAAATTGTGAAAACTTATGAGCGAGAGTAATGTCAGGGGAGAGGAGGAGGAATTTTAAGTGTTTATACTTTTTTATATTAAAGATTCACAGTCTTGAAAAATACACATTTGTCCAAAGTAGCTCCATTTGAGGACTTGCATTGCTAATTTTAAACCCTAACTATTAGATTTTTTGTATTGTACATTGTATAAACTGTAAGAATGGCAGGTGTTCTCGTAGTTGTGCACCTGCCTTTTTTTTTGCTTTACTCATGATGAAACAAAGTTTTATTACAGAAAATTAAGATATGTATGAGAAGTTGGCTAATAGACATTCAATAAGTTTTGAAAATTTCCCCGAGGGAGCAAGGTATTGAGGTATAGTTCTTAATATTGAAAAGCTTTAAAAGTTGAAAAGATTCATACCAAACCTTTTGTATGGTAGTATTTGCTAGGTGTGGTAGAAAAAATCTTGTGTTGTGGTAGCATTTCTGTTTTGGGTTTGAAGTTGGAGGGTTCAAATCCTGCTCTGGAAAATCCTGAAATTCAGCTCTGAATTTAGGATTGAAATTTGACAACCAATCGAGTCAGCTGAGTGAAGGAATCCCTACCTCCCTCACCAGGTGAAAGCACACAAGACCCTGGCTCCATATAACAGAAGTCACTCTATCAACTGGCATCCAGACAGTTCAGTTCAGGGAAGGAGCTTGAACATCCTGTCAGACTGTTAATCAGCCTGCAAATGCTTTCATTGCTTCGGACTGCCCTCTAAGAAAACGGGGATAAGAAAACTGTTTGTTCAATATGTGCTTCCCTACAGGAAATTTATTATGAGAGAATTTAATTTCAGCAATAATACAAGTCTAACTTTCAAAAATGAATTATGAATAGCATATTAAAGTGAGAATGGATGGGCATTTACAGTATAATTATCTTGTTTCGAACATTAAGGTACTTGCAGAAAATATTGGTCTCATTGGTTTGAGTGATTGACTTCAAATAATTTGGATCAGAATGGTAGTGACGCCAATGATTCATTCATTGAGGAAACCACTTAACTGATGCTAAGGAATAAGAGTAGATAGTCAAGCTAGACAATAATATTTTGAATTATCCCACTAAATTTTGTGTACAGTAACACTGCAAAACTCATCAATCAGAACCAGGTAGTAAAGAGTACCTAATGGATTTTTCTATTTATAGAATGTACCCGTGAGCAGTGGAGCAGGAGCAAGCAGTTCAGTTCCCTGAGTTTGTGGTACCATTTAATTAAATCAATGTTGATCTGTATCATAATTCCGTTTATCCACGTTATAGAAAAGAATCACGGAAGAATGCAGAGCAGAAGATGGCTATTCAGCCTGTCAGGTCTGTACAGGCTCTTCTAGTTTTCCCAACAGCCTCACTCTTTCCCACATGACTTTTCATTTTTTTTTCCTCTTTACTATCTGTATCCAATTATGTTTCAAAGGCTTCAACTGAATCTTTATCCACCACCCTATAATTCAGAGATTATATCAATTTCAATTAGTTAATTTCAAATCTCAATCACTCATGCATAAAGCAAGTTATTCCTCAGGTATCTTGCAGTTCTTTGCCGAATCTGTGCCCTCTTGTTATGGATCCTTGAACTGTTAGGTGCAGTTCTATTTCACTCATGATTTTAAACACCCCTCTCTAATCTTTTCGTTTCTTTCTGTGCTGTAAGGAAAACAACCCTCACACCTCCACATACTTGAAATCGTGTCATCCTGTAACAACTGTCATACCTCTTGTCTGTGCCTTCTCCAAAACCTTCACTTATTTCATCAAGTGCGATGCCCAGAATTTTACACTCTTGCAGATGAAGCCAAGCTAAAGATAACACAGTGTGGAGCTGGAGGAACACAGTAGGCCAGGCAGCATCAGAGGAGCAGGAAAGTTGATGTTTTGGGTCAGGACGCTTCTTCAGAAATTCTTCGTCGGAAATTTCTGAAAAGAATTTCTGAAGTTCAGAGTTTCAGAAATTTCTGAAGAAGGGTCCCGACCCAAAACTTCAACTTGCCTGCTCCTCTGATGCTGCCTGGCCTGCTGTGTTCCTCCAGCTCCACACTGTGTTATCTCTGACTTCAGCATCGGCTGTTCTTAATATCTCTAAGCCAAACTAAAGTCTTGATTCAGTTTTGCATAATATTGCTGCATTGATACTCTATGATTCCATTTGTCAAGACCAAGATCTTGCTGATTCCAAATTCAGAATTCATCTCAGTGATAGTGATCACAAAACTACAAGGCTGTTCTAAAAAAAATCTACCTACTTCACTAATTATGTTGTCTTAAGTTGTGGTCTTAAGTATATGTTACTCCAGGACTATTCTAAGGTCTTTGGCACTAACTGCTCTTTGAAATATTCCTCAGTTGAACCAAACCAATCAGCACTCGCAACAGCAAGAGTTCAAGAGTGCAGTTTACCAACAATTTCTTAAGAACAGTTAAGTATTGTCAATAAATATTCGCTTTGCTAGTAATGATCACTTCCCTTGAATGAAAAGGAAATAAAAACAATTTCCTTCTCTTCTATGTGCTGCTGAAAGCTTTTCCTGCTTTAGGAAGCTGCTGCTCATTTCCCGAATTGTACTCAACGCTGAGAGAAAGCTGACTGTCTGCCCATGTCTGGAAAGCAGCTGATTTGTGTGCAAGTGTTTCAGTATTTCACCACTGTAGATTATTGAAACTTTGACAAACACTGGCAAAGTTACAATCGGATGAAATATGTCAAAATCATCCCATAAGCCATTGATACTTCCTGGTGGGGAGCCCTTCATTTGAGGGCTAACGTTCTTGAATGCCTGTTCAATTATGGGAGCTATTAAGCAAAGTCTGAAGTCCGGAGCTCCAAAATGGTTGCGTTAGTGTCACATCACCATTGTGATTTTTCTGATCTGCAAGTGATTAATGGAAGTTTGATGCTAACTCCATAATTGCAGCATCTTTCACATTTCACGTTAGAATATACATGAGTACTACTGCTGCCTTTCTGGAATTTGAAGGACCCACTTAGTGGTCAAAAAATGACAGTTCCAAGTCCAGAGATAGTAGGAACTGATGAAGGGTCTAGGCCTGAAACGTCAGCCTTCCTGCTCCTATGATGCTGCTTGGTCTGCTCTGTTCATTCAGCTCTACACCTCGTTCCAAGTCCAAAAGGTTTTGGTGGAGAAGAGGTGGGGACACCTGCATTGCCATAAAGTAAAAGGCGGCCCAACACACAAACTTAGAAAAGGCAATAGGAACTGATAGCTTCAGTTGTCAATTGCCATGGTTCTAGCAGTGAGCCTCTGACTGCTGTACTTCAAGAAGCCCAGTAACTTCACCAGACTTGACAAGGTCAATTAATGCAAATACCACATCCCATCAACTGTACTGCGAGCCCCAGGCACTCTTCAATTCACTGGATCCCTATAACTCTCATACCCACAATTTCTAACAATCACGTATCTTACCTGATGTCCAGACTTCACCTCACGCGCACATGCTTACCACTGGTGCAAGGGTTGCACCCACATCTCTGAGCCTTTGTGCACTGCCACCTTTTGAACAATGACAGCCACGTCACCCAAACAGATAGCACAGTACTGAGCAACAGACACTATTTCCCTCTCACCAGCAGAAGTAAATGGGGTACAGTTGGATGGAGCAGGAGCTGAGTGGAGTGACTCATTGTACCTGAATTTCTTACCCCACTTTGAGAATTCGCTAATGACCTTTATTGGAACATTATGACCATCTACAGGCCTGAAACCATTGAAGATGAAAATGTTCTTTTTTGGTGTTGTCCTTTTTTGAAATCTGTTGTTATTGCCTGTCTTCTCAAACACTAAACCCTTAACACACAATCAATGCAAACTATAATTTCCAGCTCTAACCTCCCTTTCCTCTCCAAAGTCCTTGATCATGTTGCTGCCTCCTAAATGATAAACATCTCTAAATTGCCTCCAACGCAATTACATCCTTCCTTCGATAAGGTGACCAGTGCTGGGCACAGTACTCCAAAAGTGGTTTCATAAGCTTCCTTATTTCGTATTTAATTTCCCGAAGGTTAAATTATAACATTTGATTAGCTTTCCTAATTACTTGTGGTACCTGCACACTAACCATTTGTGATTCTTGCATGAAGACTCACAGATTCCTCTGATTCTCAAAGTTCTGATGGTAATGATGTCAATGAGTCATTCATTTAGGAAGCCACTGAATTGATGCTAAGGAATAAGAGTAGATAGTAAAGCTAGACACATCTTGAATTCCAAGAATAAAAAGAAAACATCTCATTATCAATCTGCGCAACATGCCAACCTGTCTGCAGTCCCCTTCACTAATAACCATGCACAATCATTGTATATCAAGTGAACGATTCTAAAATTTTTTTAAAAAGTATTTTGGTACGTAGGGTTGAGCAACAGCCTTAATGTAAACTTTAGTTTCAATCCTTGCAGCCAAAATGATCTCCACTGATCTTTTCTGTCATCTGTAATGTTTGGTTTTAACTTGTCTCTCCGTGCTGTTCAGAAAGAATGTATTAACTCGGAGCAGGAGTGAGCAATTCAGCCTTTTACGCCCACTCCACCATTTAATACTATCATGACTGGTCTCAACTCCAAATTCCTTCCTGCAATCCATCATCCTTCAATTCAATATGAATTAAAAATCCATCTCCTCAAATTTACTCAATCTTCTGGCATCTACCAAACTCTGGGGTTGGTGAATTCCACAGATTCATGAGCCTTTGAGAGAAATAATTCCTCTGCACCACTGTTTTAAATCTGCTCCCCCCTATCCTAACACCACAACCTGTCATTCCACATGAGGAAACATCCCCTCTATGTCTACTTTGTCAATCTCCTTTAGCATCTTATATACTTCAATTAGATCTCTTTTCATTGTTCTGAGCTCCAGAAAGTATAGGACTAAACTGTTCAATCTCTATTCATAAGACAAACCTCCTGTCTCTGGAATCAATCTACAGAACCTCCTATGTATTGCCTGCAATGAAATGCCTTTTACACCAATATTCCCCCATTTTACTTTCTATTTCTTTAGCAATAAATGCCAAAGTTACAGTTGTCTTCATTATTACTTGCTGTACCTGCATACCAGCTTTCTGCAATTCATGCATGAGGACACCTGTGTACATGAGGGTCCCTCTGACATTTCTTTCCATTGCGATGATAATTTGCCTTTCTATTCCTCGAACCTCACACTTAGTCACATGAAACTTAATCTGCCAAATTTTGGCTCATTCACTTAACCTATCCATATCCTTTAGCAAATTTCTTATTTCTTTATTGCAACTTACTTTCCCACCTATTTTAGTTTGCCTCTAATACGTAGCGTCCCCACAACCACGTCATTAATACAGATTTTAAATAGTTACATCTATTACTAGTATATACTTGGATTGTCACAGACTTTGCTTCAACCTGGAAAAGCCCTTCTTTGAATATTCTCATACACAGCACCCACAACATTATTTCGTCAATGCACATCACACTTTTGTGAGACACAACTTTGACTTAATAAATCCATGTTAGTAGTTTTTAGTTGGCTGATGCCTTTTTCTCCCAAATTGTTTAATATTATCCTTTGGTATCATTTCTAATAATTTCTGGGTGATGCTTGAATTACCTTTTCAGTTTTTTCAGAACAGCACAAAAATAAGAAGTCTCACTTTAATTAACTGAAAGGCACAAACACCTCTCATGAGCCAGTAAAAGCATCATGACCATCTGCAGCTTCTAAGTTACAACTCACAATGAAGTTTCATTATTTCTTTGATTAAATGCGAGAACCTTAGTGAATACTTTGTACATTGAACTTCCAATGACAAAGCAGTACTTGCAAAGATAAAAGTTATTTTGAAATGGTCCTTAGATAGGCAAAACAAATTTACAGCAGCGAGATAGTGATGAGGAAAGCAGCAGGAAATACAAATATAATTGCAAAATAAAATGCTGCAAAAGTTTCAGAAGTTTTTGATTTAGATGCATGAGATGAATTCATAATGCAAAATCCCGACTCTAGTGCACCCACATGGAAATCAATTACACCCACTCACTGCTTTAGTAAGTGCAAAGGGAAATACAACCCACTAAATTTCTATTTTCTCTTTGAGGCTTCTCTTGCTGAAACAATTCCTTTACAAAAAATTGTTTCAGCTTAACGATCTGGCATATCATTTAATTAATAAATTCTTTAAGGTTCAGCAGATGCAAGTTGGAGACTCAGTTTCCATCTTGTGTTGGGAAATTAATAAGCTTTCTGTCAGACAGAAGTGCGCATTGGGAGTGAGAGCAGAGTGCCTTGTCTTACCTACAAATTCAGGAACTGCATAACCTGTGTTAGGGAAAGAAGACTGACATAAAAGCTTTTATATTAAAGTTATTTCTAAAGCAAAATGAGTCTAACTCAGGTAATCTGAAACACCGGTCACGGTGAATTTGTTAGCCTCTTCCACAACAGAACAGAAAACTCAACAAGAGGATGCCTGTAATAAGCCAATGTTCTGATGTGATAACTTCACATCAGCCAAACTCTCTTTGGAATCATGTACAAATGTCCCTCCTTGTCTGCTGTGGTCATGTGACCTCTATCAAGAGGCATATACACTAAGCAGACATCTTATGTTTAATTCAGTAAAGACCTCATGTTGAATGCATGTACATATGAAACAAACTTGGGCACAAGTTTCATATGGCCATGCCAACTAATTTGAGTGGATCCAGGCCACGCTAGAATGCAAAACCGTGGTCAAGCCTACAGTAATGGCTGCAAGATGATCAATCAAAATCCTCAATGAGAATGCACCAAGGGAAAAATTCTAATGCAGATAAAACTGGACTGTTTCACTATCTTTTACCAGACTGCCCTTTAACAATTAAAGATGAAACATATAATGGCGGTAAGAGAAGCAAGAAACACATCACTGCTATAGTCTGCACCAAAATGGATGGCACCAAAAAGCTTCTTGTGATAGGAAGATCCAAGAAGACAAATTGCATTTTGACCATCAAGTCACTACCCATGTAACAAGTCAGATGGATGACCTCCAACACTTCTGAAGCATGGATCGAGAAAATGAGTAAAATGTATCAACAGAAGAAAAGGAAGAGTGTCAACTACCCTTCGATCCCAAAAAGTCTGATGAAGTCTGTTCAGTCCCCTGCCCGTTTCCCTTATTAATGCTGCTTCGGGCATTGAGGTGCTTTGGGATTTCACACTGCAGTGTACAAAAAATTGTAAGCATGTTTGACTGCAGTGACAACTTAGTGGACTCATCTGAAGACAGTGTGTGCCGCATAAAACATTTACAATGTTTTTCCAGAACAATTCCCAATGTTTGTCAATGTCTTTTACTGTACAAGATCAAGCCAATGTGAGGTGTGAATAAATTGAAAAGTAATGACATTTTTGAACATACTCATCACTATGTTTTCATTGTTTTTGGCACAGAATACGTTTGTAGGGAAATCAGCCACATGGAACTTTCTCAGCTATCTCAAAGCTCCACTTAACACAAATTTGAGAGTGATTTGACTTATTGCAATTTTACTATCTCCCCCTTTGAATCTTAAAGTTAAATATGAATTAATTGTGACACTTGATTGACTCTTAAACCTATGTTCATTGTGAGTCATGGAGAAACTTAGAACTGTATGAGAGGAACTCTGTAACGCCTCACATTGTGTTTCTTTCATAGTCAATGTTCAGGAGCTTCCTCCCTGATAGGACTAAGAGTCAGACTTATGAGAGATTATATGGCAAAATACTAAACCTCAGTGCCTTTATAGTTATTTTAACTGCATTTTTTTCTCCTTTGGGCATACAAGGAAGAACTTAAGCTTTGAGGATTATAATTACTTCAGATGTCTGGAACTTACTTGAAATATTCAAGGATGGCCTTACAAGCTGATTATCTCTTTGTTACTGATTCTAACCTTCTGATTATCATTCCTTTTAGCTTATGAGCTTCAAAGCTGCCCTGATCCACGACCATTTCAGAATGGATTTATCATCAATTCTGACTATAGTGTGGGTCAGTCTATATCGTTTGAATGCTACCCTGGTTACATTCTGATTGGGCAGCATGTTCTCACGTGCCATCATGGGATCAACAGGAACTGGAACCATCCATTCCCAAAATGTGAAGGTACTATCTTTATTCATTTCTCCTTTCATCACCTTTCTTTTCCTGCAGCTCCAGTCTGATATATGAATGCGCGTAAATTTCTCATATTCAACAAACCAGTGGATTGTTAATTGAGAACTCTTGTGCTCATTTGCCTTTGATTGTACCTTTACCCGTTCAAGGTATTTAGGCAGCATCAGACATGGACTTGGAAGTAAGCCTTTGTCTCCAAGAGTCATACACACTGACTCTGTTAGAGCTGTGCGGATCTGTAGGAGGCATAATTAGTGCAGGATGAAAGCTACTTTTAGGAGCTGTTCCATGGAGATGCATGAAAACTCTGGTGTTACGTACCAGCTCCACATTGATGGCGTTTTGATGGTGACAACTACAAAATTACACAATCTCTGACAGGAGTTGGAGTCCCAGCCTTTCATTGCTATTGTGACCTTGTAAGCAAAAGTAATGTTTTCTCACCTGGAAACAAAATCAGAAGTTGCTGGTAAAGCTCAGCAGGTCTGTCAGCATTAGTTCTGAAAGAGGGTCACTGGACCCAAAACGTTAAATCTGATTTTTTTCTTCACAGATGCTGCCAGACCTGCTGAGCTTTACCAGCAACTTTGGTTTTCGTTCCTGATTTACAGCATCCGCAGTTCTTTCGGTTTTTATGTATTCTCACCTGATCCACTTGCAAGAGGTTTTTGTTGTAAGAGTGAGCAACATCTCCCAAAATGATGAAGGATAAGCGACTGAGGGGTGATAGGAAATGATCATGGCTTCAGCACATTAAGACCGAGTCATGTAGAGCTGTATTTCATTTCTTAAATCAAAAAAGTTAGTTGTTATTTGAACAATCCAATAATTGCAAAGCTACATAAGCCAACATGCAATATGAAAGTAGCAGTGATAAATACCAAAACACTGCAAATTCAACTTTTATGAAGATTAACTGTCAGCCCAAGAAAATACATAGTTGAGGAACTCCAAAGCTGCTGCAGTGACAAGAGGCAGTGAGACTTTTAAACTCATTCAAAGCTGCATCATAGGAGTTTGTAGCTTTGTGAAGAAAATCCCAATGCAGTGATTGCAGGTTCTCAGACAAAGAATAACATGAAGAACAGAGCAAAGATCATGGATCTGGTGAGTGACCCTTAGAGAAAGGGCAAAAAGCAATTTTAATTGTGCATTGGGCAGCCAGTGCTGGCAAGACCAGATCCCTAGCGAGCACTGCTTAAAATTAAAACCCTGTAAACCAGATCCATGGTTAACACAACTATATGCTGCAACTATGAGGTAGCAAAGAAAGACAAAACCCAACATTTGGCTGCAAGTACTTGATATTTCAGCAAAATAAAAAGAGCAAAGAGATTATTGAACTAACTTAGAGCAAAGCAGTTTTCAACAGCTTTGCAACAATTATGAAATAACAACAAAAGCCTAACTTACAAATTCCGAGGAAAAGAAAGTGACTGTATCAGGATTCAGTGTAAGGCTACATTACATGGGAAGGATTCAAATACTAGAAGGCAATTTGAAAATCAGCTAAACCACAAAAGAGCTCAGAAAAGCCACGAATCCTGAGTTTTAGATGACCTGAGAGGTTTGGAGACATGGAAGGATTACATTAAAAATCAAAACTGGCACTTTGGAGAAAAAATGCTTGAGGCACTACATTGCTTAAATTTGGGCAGTAAGCTTGAAGCTAAACAGGTCAACACGTTACTTTACTCCGCAGCTTGAGTAACCACTGATGCTTTTGCCTGAGAAAGCCATATTGAGACTACAGATACATTTAAAACAGTCTTAAGTTAAAAGCCTTCAACCATAATTCCAAACTGAACATAAGATTCTAGAAAGGACCAAATTCAACAGAAGGTTTCAGATGCCATGTAAATGAGGGGATGCTTATATTAATTACTTTTTTACAGGCTGGTTGAAGAATATGATTGTGGAGGTCCAGTAGCAGAACTAATATGAGAGTGCATTGTAGTCAGTGTTGACGTTGTTCCATATCACACTTGTGGCAATCTAAGGAGGACCTCATTGTCAAAAAAGCTGGAGAGACAAATAACAGTCCATAAACAGAACCGTGCAATACTGAGAGGTGAAGATAAATATTGACTGAGAAATCCTTCAATGAGAACACAGCTTCTGAAGCATAGGAATGTAAAAGAAGCATCAGAGAAAATGGCAGGAAAAGCACAAGACACCATAATACCCTGCTAGTGCATCAGATGGCAACAGTGTGCCGTAAAAATTGCAGAATGTTTGCCTTCTAGAAGAGATAGCTATTTGAGTTTGAGTTTGATTTATTGTTGTCACTTGCACAGGGATATAGTGAAAAGTGCTTTTTTTTGCACACTATACAGGCAGATTGTACCATGCAAAGTGCATCAGGGTAGCAAGAACTAGTGCAGAATACAGTATTACAGCTGCAGAGAAGGTGCAGAGAGAGAGAGAGATCAACATGAACATTTGAGAGGTCCGTTCAAAACTCTGATAACAGAGGGGAAGGAGCTGTTCTTGAATCTATTTGTTCATGTATTCAAACTTTTATATCTTCTGCCCAATGGAAGAGGGTGGAAGGGAGTACAACCAGGTTGCGAGGGGTCTTTGCCAAAGTAATATCTCAATGTTCTTAGGATCCTAAAACAAAAATGCCATTACACGTGAAGCTTTAAAGAAGTCGAAGAATTTTTGCCTGGAGAGGAACAATTCTATTTTTTACATTGAGACCATCAACCCCAATTATGTGTTCTGGAATGCAGATATAGATGTCAATGGGGATATCACCAACTCTAAACTTGCTACTGGAGCAAATGTAACACTTTTATCTAATGGTTCTAATGTTGTTTGGATAATATGCCATCCAGAACTTCATGCAATATTCAACTATTTTCCATTAAAAAAATTGTAGGAAATCACTTTATATTCAGATGTATGAACTTCTTTTTCATTGAGGAAGCAATTAATAAATTGAATAGAAAGCTTTATAATAATCTGAATACAAATCTCAAGTTTCTCATTTTCATACTTGGTTTCTATCCTCCCAGATTGTTCTGGTGACCTCTAAATCTGAAAAAAAAACGTATGAACTGTGTTCCCCATGTAGCCCTTCCAAGTTCCAGCCCAAAAATGATTCTCCACTGAATATACTATTAGAAATTTGAAAATGGCAGGCATCTAAACCTGTGCTATAGCCAGAAATGTTCTCATTTTGTTCAATTTTCTTTAACAATATGATTATTATTTGATCTCACATGGAATAAATCAAAGCAGTATGACATGATTATTTATGATGAGATTCATTCCTGTCACATAAACTGCAGTGTGTCATATTTAGAAACTGCATTACTTATCAGGCTCTCTCACTTTATAGCTTCTGGTGGTAATATAACTGATTTTGCATAAGGACATCAGAACAGATTTTGTTCATATGGGTAAGTAATTTAAGTTTAGAAGACTTAGGCTGGGAAAGTATGCAAATTAGTGCACTTCAGTTTCCAAAAACTGAGAAGCACCTATGTTATCAGTAAGATGTGCAATGTACAATGTAATTCGCAATAACTTTTCAGTTTAATCTCAGTGTCCTTTTATTCACGAGATAAAAGAAAGAAAATGTTCAATTTAGAATCATCGGCATGGGTAGATGGACTTGCCACACTGTCTGATTGACTCCATTTGTATCCAAAGTACTTATTACTTTTGCTGGCAGAATTTAAGAAATGTCTTCCACAAAGAATAGCATAAACCAGCTAATTGAATTTTTTTTTAACAAAAGTACCTCAATTTATTCATTTGATTTGTTATTTCCTCTCAGACCATTATTGATGTGATAATAAAGTGTTATGTATTCCTGACTTGACCAGCTGGTCTTTAACTTTTGACTCCCTTCCAGTGAGGGAGACAAACAATGTCACTATTAGTCACTAGTGGCTAGGTACCAATGGTCCCCCTGTAAACATGGCCATCTTTCTCTCATTATAGCATACTTTTGTATGGTAGCTACATTTAAGTTCGATGGTTTGACAGTTTGGTTTTGAATTGCTGTCAAATGAGGGGTCTGAGAATCTGTATCTATGTCTGTAGGCCATCTTTGAGGATAACCCCGTGCAGAAAGGTGAGCTCAGCATTACTGTCTACTTCTTGACAAGGAGATGTCACTCCCACTGGAGAACATTGTGGTTCTATGTTGGCTACACCTAGCCTAGTGAAGCAGATCTACACTTCCCCAAGCTCAGGCACTTTGACATTTAGCAAGCCAGCAATCTCCCACCGCCTAGATTCATTGTTGGATGAGATATACCCATTTGTTGATGCCAACACTCTCGATGCCACTGTTTTCTCCCCATCAGAAATGTGGGACCTTTGGACCTTCACTCAAGAAGATCAGAATCAGAAACTCCATGCCTTCATGCACAAGACATGTATCTTGCCATTGTTCAAGCAAACAGGATGAGCAGATAAACTTTTCCTCAGCTTATGTAGCATTCTGCTAGACCAAAATATTTCAATAAATTTCATAAGATGGCTGCTACCTTTGATAATATTGATAATGATAGAGTTGCAAACATTCATCCAGATGAAGAGCATGAAGAACCTGCTGACATCTTGTTGGATCAGAACTGCAATTGATTTATTAAGATCCATTGATCACCCAACTCTGACGCATTCATTGAACACTATTCATTTTAAATAACAGTTGACCAATGGCTCCCTGCTTCCAAAGCTTTGAATCTCATTGTCCCAGTCAGGTATTCATTCTCATCTGTTCAACAAACTGACAGTTCATTGCCTTTATATGTAATTGGGATGCATTGGAACTGTGCCGTGAGACCATCATTAGCTTTGGAAGGATTATTCTTGGAGAACCTTGATTTTGAATTACTTGTAGGCTGTACAGATTACCTTAACACACATGTTCTCAGTTCTCTGGGACCTGCAGGAGTGAGATGGTGTCTTTGATCCAGATTTCCCAGGTTAGCACGGCACAGCTGGAACATTCAAGGCTAATGTCAACGTTGGTCTGTGGACCGTCCATAATGAACATGCATTACCCCCAGAATGCCAGAGACAAACTTATAGAGCTTGGATGAAAATTTGATGACCTTGTTAATTTGCAGTCTTTGCTTGGTCTGAAGATGTGGGAATCACCATACAGTACCTTAACCAACACCTGTTGTGAACTCATCCAGTGGGTTTTAGACTTGTCACAGCATCTTCTGATGTCAGATGCTACAATAGTGAGACCACATCTGGAGTACCATGTACAGTATCAGTCTGTTAGTTCTGTTTCTCTTTGGCAGTCCCTCATGACTTGCTTCCACATTAAGAATTAGATCTCATGTGGCTAAGCGACCAATACCTGGCCTGCAGTCTCTGTCATGGTGGGGTCAGACTGTGGTTGGAGGAATGGAAGGGTGGGATGCCTGGGTTGCCATGTACTCCTTTCTTTGCCAATGTTTGACTTCAGCTTGTCGTCAACGCTGAGACCTGAGGTGAACAGATCCTTCCCAGGTGTTTTCCCTCCCCTTCAGGTGGTCTTGGCCAAAGTTTCTCAGGCGTCGATGTGTGTGTTGCACATTTTCAGAAGGGGCCTTTGAAACATTCTCTCTGGCCTCCTGGGTCTCACCTGGCGCGTCGAAGCTCTGAATCAAACACTTGTTTCAAGTCCCACATCAGGCAGGCAGATTCTGTGGCCTGTCTAATGGAACCGATCGAATGTGGTCCATGATTTGTCAGGGCTGTTGACTTGAATGATAACACAGATGTTTTTGTGTCTATCCTTCCAACGGATTTGTAGTATCTTGCAGAAGCAGCTCTAGTAATACCTTTCCAGGCATTTGAGGTACACAAGCTATCCATCACTACATTCCGATGGTATACCAAATGAATAGAAGATTTCGTTTTTCCGTGCACCTCATTGTAAAATTTGACAAAGTGTCCTGTGCTATTCATATTTCTTTATGTCTCCAGCCTGACATAAAAGTAGGTCCAGTGGATTATATTGATGTTCACATTCGCCAGCCATTTCAAGAAGGTGAGAAACCGGAATGTATTGTCGGTTCAGTGCTGGGCTGGTTTGGTCTTCATGTTGAGTGAGTGGGATTTCTCTCTGAGCCCCAGGTCATTTAAGGAAAGATGTAAATGTGGTGTAAGTAGCTCAGAGAAGACTAATACCTAGAACGAGCAGGTTGCCTTGTAAGGAAGTGTTGGACGTGTGAGGCTTTTACCTGATAGAATATAGTAAAGTAAGAGGTGACCTGATTGAAACGTATAAGATGCTGGAGTGGGCTTGACCAGGGAGATGTGGACAGGATGTTTCTTCTTATGGGAGTGTCTAGAACTAAAGATCACCATTTCAAAATAAAGGTTCAACCCGTTTAAGACAGAGATGCAGCATGTTTTCTCCCCAGTGTGTTATGAGCCCTTAGAACTTTCTTCCTGAAAAGGTGATGGATGCAGAGTCCTTGAATATTTACAAGGCACGATGGAGTAATTATTTTAAGCAAGGAGGGGAAAGGTCATCAGGAGTAGGAGGAATGTGGGTTTGAGGTTAAAGTAAAATCAGTCATGGTCTTATTAAATGGTGGAGCAGGCTGATGGGGTTGCGTTACCTATTCCTGCTCCTTGTCTCTATTTTCATAATTAGGTCATGCAGTCACTTCTGAAATCCCAACAGAAGTCAAAGATCTGAATAAGTTTCAGCTCCAGCTCAGTTGGTAGCACTCATGTCACACTCCATGTTCTTGAGCACTTCATCTATCCTGGTATTTCAATGCAATACAGCGAGAGTGCTACACTCTCAGAGGTGCAGAATTTCTAAAGAGTCTTTAGGCTGAGATCCTACTTGTTTTCCTAGATGGCTTAAAGGACATACTGTACCATTTGAAGCAAGAACAGGGGAGTTAGCACCAGTAATCTGACAGCTCTTCTTCCCTCAATCTACATCCCAAAAGCAGCCTACCTGATCACCATCACTTGCTGTTTGTGGGAGTGTGCTGTTTGGAAATTGGTTATGACACTTATTTCTTTCAAAGGGTTCTTCTAAGGGTTCTTCACTGGTTATGAAATCCTTCAGTATGCTGTGAAAGATGCATTATAAATGAAAGCTTCTGTTTTTTTTTTAATCTACTTATAGACAACGATTAAATGTGTTGCATTTTTGTTGTTTTAAAGCACCCTGTAACCTCAACATAACATCTCGAAATGGTACGATCTACTCTCCTGGGTTTCCAAATGAATACCCAAATTCAAAGGATTGTAGTTGGCTCATTACAGTACCTCCAGGACATGGGGTTTATATTAACTTCACGCTGCTACAGACTGAACCAGTGAACGACTACATTGCTGTATGGTATGACCTATATTTACTTGCAAGCAAAATTTCTTGTGAAATGAACATATTTTTAAAAATATAATGTTAATATTACAAGGACAGTGTGTTAAGTTATAGTTCATATTTTGTTTACACCACTACACTTGATAAATATAGCTGTTGTTATGTTGTAACAGTATTGCATAGTCAGAGCAATGCTAACCTGCCTGGTGTATTGTTTACTGTATCTCAAAACCATTATAATCTTTACAGGGTATTCCAACTTTGCAGATGATTTCTAAGCTGTTGTGAATTTGCAATGGCATTACTGATATTTAAAAGCCATTCGTTTTCTTTTGCTACTCTGCAAAGTGGGCAGCTGTGCCCAGGCACAATGTGAGGCAGTGGTGCCTGGGGCAGGGTAACTCATTTGAGGGATTCAGCCCACTTGAGAGCCATTCCCCACTGCCCTTGTTGCCAATATCAATGACAGCCACCCCCACCATCATCAACTAGGACCTGGGATCTGACAAAAAAAAAACAGCAAACGCCACCACTCCACCAGTGGCATTGCTGTTTAATAGAGATGCCAGCTAGACATGTACTCTCAGGCTCCTTTATCCCAGAGGGGGTCTGTTGCTGCTTGGGTGGATGTCTGTTGGGGAGTTTCATGAGGCTTTCTCTCTGTCAACTCAAGCAAATGACCTCTCACAATTCTTCACTGCTCTCCTTATTATGTATGCATCATGACACATTCTTGCTGTCTTGCAGACTCACCAGTGGCCAACCTAGTCAACACTATTGAGGCCTTCTGGGATTTCTGCTGTGGGTGACTTATTTAAAGCACCGGGTCAAACCCTGCCAGCTATGAATAGACCTTAACTGTACATTTATTGGGATGGAGACAAAAAGAAACCTCTCTGAGAGCACGTAGTTGGCATGATTGACACTTCATTGGAAAGAGAACTCCACATTCCAGAGCATCCGGAGGAAACCCACACAGACATGGAGTGAATGTGCAAACTCCACACAGACAGCCATCCAAGGGTAAAATTGATCCTGAGTCCCTGGTGCTGTGAGGCAGCAATGCTAACCACTGAGCCAATGTGCCACCCTGCCTTGAGCACCTTATCATGTTAGAAAACTGCTTAAGGGGGTTCTACATTTTCCTTCATGGCCAGTGTAGAATAACATCAAGAACCTTGTTTAATTGGATAGAATCACAAGTTAGACAGCCTTTAAACAGTTAAAAACATGAAGTTATATTGAAAAGTTGGTGGAAAAGCAAAGAAAAGAAAAAAAAACACAAAATACTGCATTTGCTTCTGGGACCAAACAGGGACTGATTGCCTTTCAAACGACAGCAAATTTGCAGTCATTAAATTTACAGATTGCTTCACCCAACTCACATCTATTGGAAGCGGGTGTTGATTAATCCCTGTCTGACTTGTGCGCAGCTATCGAGCACTTTATCATATTAAAGGTGATGTTCCTCCTGCACAGTGTCTTCATCTTCCTCCCCAGAAGATTATTGCTGCTTTCCCAGCTCCTCAGCTTCCATCACATTTCTTTTTTGTCTTCTTTAGTTGTGCAAGGGACAGTATGTAAAGATCATGCAACACACTCTGCCAGGACTGTGCTACAAGACACCCCGCCTTACCTCCAGCACCACCGACTCACCACAGACCACCAATATGATAGAGGAGTTGTAAAGAGGGCTCCAAATCTTTAAAATGTATTCATGAGCTTTTTTTTAACCAGTACACCACAAGCCCATAAGAAAAAGCATGTTTCCTCTTGTGGAAGAATCTAGAATTCAGTGTTATAGTTTAAAAATAAGAAGGCACCCATTTAAGACAGATGAGATTTTTTTCGTCTCTGAGGGTTGAAAGTCTTTGGACTTACCTTCCTTAAAACATTACATCTTTAAGTGTTTTTAAGGCAGAAATAGTTAGATCCTTGATAACCAAGGGGATGAAAGATGATCAGAAGCATGGAGGAATGTAGAATTGAGATTATAATAAGATCAAAAATAATATTATTGAATGGTTGAGCTAGCAAGTCTTGCTGGCAGTAGCATCTTAGTGATTGTATGCATAAGTCAGTTTGATCTTACATACTTATAGAAAAGAGCAAATATAGATGAGGAATGACATTTTCAATTTGGGAAAGAACAACTTTACTGAATGCGTATGTGATTTGGCAAAAGTGGATTGAAAGCAGCTACTTGAAGGTAAATCAGCAGTAGGGCAATGGGAGGCATTCAACAACAAGAGTTCAGAGAAAAACAATTCCTGCAGAGATTGTGCTCGAAGTGTGTAGCACACTAGTTCAGCCATAGGGAAAGTACTGCTTATAATTTTGGTCATTGTATTATGAATGTGCAGATGATATTTACGAGAGCTCTGACAAAAATGATTTTTTTTCTTTGAAGGAAGATTACACAGACGAGCGTTTCTTTGCTTTGATATAGAGGAGACTGAGATTGACTTAATTGAGGTGTAAAAAATGGTGAATCATCAAGATTGGATAGCAAGGACATAATCCCCTTCAAAGAGAGATCTGGGATACGGATTAGAAGTCACTTGAAGGGAAATGTTTTCACCTGGAGCCTGGTGCATTTGAAATTCCTGACCTGAATGAATGGTAGAGGTAGAAACCATCACAGCATTTTAAAAGTTTTGGATTTCCATTTGAAATGACATAAGTATTAAGTATTTGTGAGTGAAATTGGGCTGGTTATCGCTTTTTGGCAAACATAAACAATGTCAGTTGAATGATGACCTTCTGTTCTGTCAGAATTTTATGTTTTTGTTCAATGCTCATTCACATGGTTTCACTACTCTTCATTTTCCTCTGATCTGTGCGGTTTCCTTTCCCTATGATGGTCTATGTAATGCCTGTTTGAAAGTAACTGCAACATTGAATCTGCACCTCTCATGCTTTCAGGCATTGCATTCTATTTCATCATAACTGACCGCACAATATAAGCCTCTGCTCTCTGGTTCTTCTTCCAATTAATGCAAACAGTTTCTCTTTATTTACTCTATCCAAGCAGGTCATAATTTTGAAAAAAATATCAGTCAAATCTCCCTGAACAAGGAGAGGCGAGGAGAGTCAGCAAATAAGTGGCAGATGGAATACCATGTGGGAAAGTGTAAGGTTATGCACTTTGGTAGGGAGAATAGAGGTGTAGACTATTTTAAAAATGGGAAAGGCTTTGGAAATCTGAGACACAGAGGGACTTAGGAGTCCCAGTTCAGGATTCTCTTCAGATTAACATGCAGATTCAGTTGGCACTTAGGAAGGCAAATGCAATGTTTGCATTCATTTCGACAAGGCTAGAATACAAGAGCAGGAATGTACTGCTGAGGCTGTATAAGGTGCTGGTCATGCAACATTTGGAACATTGTGAGCAGCTTTTGCCCCTGTATCTAAGAAAGGATGTGTTGGCCTTGAAGGGGTCTAGAGGAAATTCACACAAGAACGATGCCAGGAATGAAGGGCTTGTCATATGAGGAAAAGTTGTGGACTCTGGTTCTGTAATTAATAGAGTTTAGAAGGATGAAGTGGGAATCTGATTTAAACTTACAGACCACTAAGAGGATCGAAAGAGTGAATGTGGAAAAGTGGTTTACACTTAGTAGGACCGAAGGGCAAAGCCTCACAGTGAAGGGACAATCCTTTAGAACTGAATCTGTGGAACTTATTGCCACAGAAGGCTATGGAGGCCAAGTTACTGAGTGTATTTAAGACAGGGATGGATAGGTTCTTGATTAGTAAGATGATCTAAAGTTACAGGGAGAAGGCTGGTGAATGGGGTTGAGAAACCTATCAGCCATGATCAAATGGCAGAGAAGATTTGATGGAGCAAATGACCTAATTCTGCTCCTACATCTTATGGTCTAATTACTCTGTTCTAAGATGCTTTATTTTTTTCATACGGTCTTCAAATCCCTATTTTACATTTCTTCAAAAAAAAACAACACACAAAAATTGGAAGTTGGCCATTTGATGTGCATTTGAGGAGATTTGCACTCCAGTTGTACTGTTCATACAAAGTGGATTTGTATATAAATGCAGACTGAATCCAAAATAGGGCTTAACCTGACACTGGAGTGAGACTTTGTTTTACTTGGAATTAGTTTGGTCAGAAGATCTGATCATTATTAAACTAATTTAACTCAGTGCAAAAGCAAAGCTACAGTGGACTGCAAATAAATGTATGATGTGCTTGAACGGTAAAAGATGTTGCATGATTTATTTTTCTTGTTAATTCTTTCATGAGATGCGGGTATTACTAGACAGGCCAGCATTTGTTGTCCACCCCTAATTGCCCTTGAATTGAGTGGTATTTTTGAAGCCAGTGAGATTCCCACACGTTCCTCTGTGTCTGGAGTCATATGTAAGGACAGGTTAATGACAGATTTCCCTCCCAAAAGGACATTGGTGAACCAGATAGATTTTTACAAAAAAATAAATGGTGACCATAGTCCTCATGGTCATCGCTTTTGACGCGAGTTTTAAATTCAGAATAATTAATTATTTTGTTTTTTCAGTTGGCTTTAAATTTCATTAGCTGCCATAGTAGGATTTGAACCCATGTCTCAAAAACATTAACCTGTATGCCTAGATTATGAGTGCACTAACATTAACATTACATGATCATCTCCTCCTTATTTGGAAACTGAAAATGACACATTTGATGATTGCTATGAGCCTGGTTGACTTACAGTATTGTGCTATTAATAGAGCTACTTCTCTAGGCCAAAACTCCATGTTACACAAACATATTTTCCTGAGATACCATGCATGCTGTAAATAGAAAAATAGTTTGGTGTGTGAGATGAAGAATCCTAATTGATAGGACTGAGTGCCCCTTTCATGTACTTAGATTATTTTCTAGTGAAAGAAACTTGATTGTTAATGGTTAAATTTGTAATGAAATTATAATTTTAATCTATTAATCCTTAATTATGAGCTTTGCCACTGGACATATCCATTTAATTAAGTGTTCTAATAATGTTGTTAGTGTGGATTCAGTAATTATCCTGGATTGAGTTGAAAATGATAAGCTTGCTGCAAAATGGATTGGCGCAGTTATACAGCACTTGAGTTTTATTTTAACAATTTGGATCATTTGAATTCCCTCAACAACATTATTTTTTTAATCACTCCTGGGTAACCTTTACTCCATCTCCCCAATAAACGTACTGTTACACTATCAGTCAATTAATGGAGATGATGTTTGCACCTATTGTTTCCCCGCTGATATTATTTCATTGAATTTGGCCATGGTGTAGTGCATTTCATCCAGAATAATTTTCAAAGCAGTTTTATATTTTAGAATGAGATTGCTGCTATAATTTTCAAAGTATCTCTGAGGGGAAATTGCCACCTCATTTTTTTTTAAATCCTCAACTGAAGTGTTAATGTTGATTTTTATAACAAATGGGCAATGAAATTGTGGGTTAATGAATGTACTTTTACTTCATGACAGAACATGCATGGTAATGACTTTTTCAAAGGGCAGTATGAATCACATTGTGAACACCCTGTCTAGCTCATCAGTATCAACCATTGTTTTCAACCACCTTCCTGGAATAGCATTCTCTCCTTCCACTGGGAAGCATCAAACATTGAGCCCATCTGTGGGAAGAAGTCATATTTAAACCCTACTGATCAGACACTGGACTGCTGAAGGTGTCTATTCTCATGGAAATTAACGAGCTGTCATAATTGCAACTCAGACCGAGGTAACTGCAACACACTTGGAACACAGTCATGCCCCAATCTCAGTCACCTGCTGATGCACTTCTGACACTCTTGCAGGACAAGGTGACACACCACTGGAGGCAGCAAGAGCCAACCAGAGGGGAGCAGCCAGGACTGCCATGTTCAAATGCACATGGAGGAGTTTGTGTTGGCCATTGTTCGGACATCATGTTGACTCCATGGTCAGAAGCACGTGAAATCACTGAAGATGAGACAATGCTCATAATGTATTTTTCTTCTCCCATACTGCACCACCCTTTTCCAAAATACAGTTGACTGGCAGATAGCCTAAAAAAAGTGCTCCCTGGCCAGGCAGTGGAAGAACAGCTCACAACTACAGCCCAGATGTTGACACTTGTCATCTAAAGAATATAGAGGCAAGATCTGCATATGATGGGACCAGGATTAGTCTGCAGCTGGGGCAGAAATCAAAGTTAACACAGGTACCAGTCCATCAGAGGGTCAGGTCATAGACTACCTCTGCTGCAGAGTATTTGAACACTTCAATCTAACACCTGTATAAAAAAAAAAGCATAACAAGTGCAATGGCAACTAGATGCATGGCACATTGTGAAGACTGTGATCAATGCCAAGGTGCATTTCTCAAACCTTGGAGTGTGTCTGTTCCAGAATGGAAGTGAGGGCAAACTCTATAGACACATGGGCATCCAAATGTGCTACTGCATCTATTGGTTGGTGTTGGTCTATTGCAGCACAAGCAGCTTATACCAAAAGTCTGCGTGTCACTGTGAAAGTTCAGATTGAAGTCATACAAGATCAGCTTGTAAGCTGAAATGACAGTGATCATTACTTTGGGCTAAAATGTGTAAAAGGGCTTGCAGGGTGTGACAGCAATCCAGCATTTGACTTCGAGCAGAAAATCACAGGGAATCTTTTGTAAATTGAGCAATATCATTCTACAAGCCAATTTTGCATTGTTCATGTGCATGTTCTTTCTCTTTATCTGCATTCCGCCTCATTCTTTTCTGATTCTCTTTGTATGTTCTTTCAGTTTCACTTTCTTCTATTTGCCTGCTTTTCTGCCTTTTCTATCTGCCTTCCTTTCTCTCACCATCTATTTTTGTTTTTGGCTTCCTCCCTACTCTCTCTCCCCGGCCCCTCTCTCTCTTTCTCTGACTTGCCTGAAAACTCCTTGAAGTAGTTCAGTGACAATTAAATAAAACTTTATGAATTCAGGACATTTAGAAAATGTACTGAGCCACAGTGATGCTCTCAAGTCAGTTGATGAAACCCCAGCACAAATTCTGATATCTGTTGCATACTTTTAGCATCTGTCAATATCAATTTTACAAGGTATTTCTTCTCCTTTCGTTGTCTCTTGTGTTTATGTGATCATCACATAGTAATCAAAGATGTGTACAGAGGGATTACGAGGCATTTGACACAATATAAACAGAAATTGCTGGAGAAATTTGGCAGTTCTGGCAGCAAATGTAGAGAGAGGAACAGAGTTAATATTTCGAGTTCAGTTGCCCTTCTCCAGAACGGGGTATTTGATTATTGCTTTCGAACACGCTATTGCTTTGCTCAAGTGTAGAAAGAACAGAAAAGAAATTGGAAATAACTTCTCTTCTGTGTTGTCTTTGGCAACAAATATTATTGACTACTTATATGGACTGGTTTGCTCAGCTGGCGAAATGACTAGCATGTGGGTCAGATTAATACCAATAGCACAGGCTTCAAACTCCATTCCAACTGAGAAAGAATAGACACTTGTCTCTATAGCAATGTAAGGTCTTATGGATGAACAGCAGTAGGTTTCATTAAACATAAATATATGCAAATAGAAACTGAGGGCACCTTACTTGGCATCCAAATGCTCCAGGCTCCAGTTTCATGTGATCTGATCACGATGACATAGCTTCTTTCATGCATGCTCAGCGGTTATGCCCAAAGTAAAAGTATAATTCCCTTTACTTTACAACCTCTGCACACTACTGTAGTTTGACAAATAATCTCCATGGGCCTACCTTCATTCAGGCAGAGTACTCAAGAAGAAGAAGAACCTTCAAACTTAATAAATTTAGCAGATGGTGCAATGTTAAACAGAAAAAATGCTTGAAATATTAATTCACCTGTGTTGCCTAACTAAGCAAACCATGTATTCCCACCCTTCACAACAAAGCCTAGGAAGCTCTGCTCCGGTTTGCTTATTAACCAGCAATTCACCTTTTCATATCTCTTGCTTGTCCCAATGTTTAAAATATGAATTTCTTACAAACAGTAATGATTTTAGAAAGCTCTGGTCTTGAGTTCACATTTGGCAATGACCTAGCTGCTCTTTCTCTCAAGGTCAGATTAAGTGCCATTTGAGATGTTTGTTATGTTTACTTCCACCTTGATACAAATCTGGTGAAAAACCAACATCAACCTCGACTTAATATTCAAATAAACCTGTTGGACTATAAGATGGTATCATGTAAATTCTGACCATGTCCACCCCAGTCCAACACTGGCATCTCCACATCATAACATTCATTGTTATTGTCAACCTATGGTGTCAGCTTATTAGCTCTGTTTGGAAGGTGCAGGAGTGAGGAGAGGCATTTGGTGCCTAATCGATGACTGTACAAAGAGCTAGGCTTGCCCACTGGAAACCACCATATATCCTTGTTTCTGGATCCTTTCACAAATGACTTAACTTTGTTCTGGTCCCTCTACAATCCTGGAGATCGTTGTCCTACAGGCAGCAGCCATTACCTCCTCAGCATCCTGCCAGTCAACCTTGGGTTGGTCAACAGTTCTTGCTGGGCAAGATACACCCCCCATTAGAAGGCCCACCAATAGCCTCAACGTTGCTTGATTAGCATGTGGTTTGATGGTCCTTCCCCAGAAGAGGTGTCTCATCAGTTCTCCAGCAACCTACCAAGATCTATGCCTTGACCAAATTCTACCCCGTGAATATATAATTGATCTTGTCTGCAGGAGCACTAAATCCCAACTAAAGATTTCAAGCTGCACACAAGGACTATTACTGAATCCCAAACTCCCAAGCCAAATGGATGATCCTGGAAAGTATTATCGTATGGTGAACCATTTGGGTAACTGCAAGAATTTTAAGCAGAATGATTTAATCACATTGCTGTCTGAAATATTCTTCCGTGGATTTATCTTCAAAATAACAGGGTGGATTTTAGAAAAAAAAAGTTTACCCCTGGGAATATTGTGCAATTGTTTTCATGTGGATCTTTGAAGCCTTTTTTGATACATTCTTGAAAACATCAGTGAAATTATTAATTTGAGACAGAGACTAAGTCTTAATTTTTCTGCTCGAGATTTAATTCCATATGCATGGATTTAATATGCAGATTTTTATGATCAGTTATAGCAAATTCATCTTAATATTAGTAAGATTTTTGTTCAAAATATGGCTGACATGTAACTGTTAAGAAAACAAAACTGTGTGACTATATAATCACCAGAAAAAGTTGATAATTTTATCCCTTAACTGATTTTCAGGCACACTTGTCTTCTTTCATTATGCAGGGATGGGCCTGACCAGACTGCTCCACAGCTAGGCATTTTCAGTGGCAACACAGCTCTGGAATCAGCTTACAGCACCAGCAATCAGGTTCTTATCAAGTTCCACAGTGACTTCTCCGGAGGGGGATTCTTTGTCCTCAATTTTCACGGTCAGTCTGCTTCCACAAAGCATGCGAATGATTTTTCTTTAAAATCAAATGTTGAACATTTGCAGATTAAACTCATGAGAAAGTACGATATAAAGTATTAGTTGCACCAAGGAATGGCATTGATTAGAACAAAATGCTCCTAAATGAAAGTGGAGTCACTCACATGCCGATGCATTATTGTATTTATTATACAGGCAATTATAATGGGAAGGAAGGTATCCCCAGAGATAGTAGGAACTGCTGATATCCTTGTTTGCCCAGGGTTTTAAAAGAAAAGAATGGTGATGCAGGGTTTGAAATGCCAGGGTTTAATCTCCGTTTGAATGGATCTGTTCTTATAAGAGGCAAGAGCAGCTGATCTTTTGACAATGAGCCAACAGAAAATTCAAAATGAGTTTCAATCTGCCAGCGTAAATGTTGGATTTCACAGCCTTCCAGTTACAGAGTTGAGATGTTTCTTGTAATTTAAGCCATCTTTCACTTCTATCCTTACTGTGAAGTTGTACAGGTGCTGCCCTCTATACTCTTAGCTGTCCACAAGCTCCCACATGTGGGGAAGCGTTACACACATATTTCTCATTCCTGGTCAAGAGAAAGTTTTAGCATCTGATATGACAGTCCTCTTCTCAACTCTAATTTCCAACTTCTCTTCCTTTCACTTTTTTTGTCTTTGCATGCATATAACTGTAGCCATTATTCCTTGGAACTATCCTGGTTTCTAAAAGTCAATGTGTAAAAAAAAGAGTTGCAATTGCTGTAACCGTGACAGACCAATGCACTCGGTAAGAAGATTTCTATGTTTTACTGGGCTCAAAATTCATTGGGATGTGGGTTCAAGGGGATAAGGCACTTCAAACATTAACTCACTATTTGGCTGATTTGACTTAATGTGTATTTCCAGTTTTTTTTTCTGTTTCTGTAACAGAAGTACTCAATTATATTGGAATTTAACCTTTTCATACTGTCTACAGCTCGCAATTTACTTTTACACAGGACCTCCAGATTATCCAATCCCTCACTCCTCTTTACTTTTTAAGCACAGGATATGCTAACCCAAGCTTCATGTCAGCTGGTTACAATCTTAAATTTAATTTTTCTTTCCTGTATTTCATCTTTGTTCTTGCCGCTGATAATGTCGTTAAAAGATTGCTGTTTGGACAGTATGTGTAAGCCGTGATTTTCTTGAGCAATCTGACACTTTCTGCCACCATACACATGGCACAAAGGCAGGACAGCAACTGTGCTACCACGTCACTGTACCTGAGTGGGTGACAAGGTGGAAAAAGACAGGAATATCTGTGAAAGGAGAATGCAAACCCAGTTTTATATATTTGTATACATTCTTATTGAACAAAAATCTGCTTCTCTTCTATTCACAGATAACCCAGTGGCAGATACTTGATATAAATGTGAATGCCTGAGGCCTGTAGGACTGAATGAATACTAATGCACAATGCTGAGACTGACATCCATTGGGAAGCTTTGTATAATTTTCTTTTGATTCTTTCGTGGGATGTGGGCATCGCTGGCTGGTCAGCATTTATTGCCCATCCCTAGTTGCCCTTGAGAAGTCAGTGATGAGCTGCCTTCTTGAACTGCTATAGTTCAAATGCAGTGGGTTGAGCGACAATGCTTTTAGGGAGGGAATTCCAGGATTTTGACCCAGTGACAGTGAAGGAATGGTGATGTATTTCCAAGTCAGGATGGTGAGTGGCTTGGAGGGGAATGTGTAGGTGGCACTATTCCCATGTGCCCGCTTCCCTTGTCCTTCCAGATTGAAGTGACCGTGGGTTTGGAAGATGCTGTCTGAAGATCTTTGGTGAATTTCTGCTGTGTGTCTTGTAGATAATACACCCTGCTGCTACTAAGCATTGGTTGTGGAGGGAATGGATGCTTGTGGATGTGGCCCCAGTCAAGTGGGCTGCTTTGTCCTGGATAGTGTCAAGCTCCCTGAGTGTTGTTAGTTGGAAAATAGCTCCCTAGGGAACAGGCCACGGGATGTTCCAGGCAGAAAGCAAACCAGTCTGCAGATGTTAATGGCAAGGAGTCAGGGCTGGGCACGATGTATAACTGCATGTTAATTTTTGATAAAGGTTTCAATGGACAATAGCCCTCAGTGTGATAGTGCAGGAGCCATATTCCGCTGATAGTTAACTGTGTGGTGCTGTTATTTTTACTGGTCATGCCAGATATGGATAGTATTTAATATAGTTTCAGGATTGAGTCAGCCTGTTTGTGTAACGGTATAAAAGAAGTACTTTCTTAGCATTGTATTCGAAGGGAGCTCAAACTCCTGAGTGAATCTTGGACTCCCTCCCTCTGCATCTAAGCCGGTGTTTTGCTTAAATAAAGCTCTCAAGTGCTGCTTTACTTTGCTGTCTCTGACTGCCTTTACAGAGGTCACTCTTACACCTTGCCCATGTCTAACCTGAAGCTATGAGATTTCATGAGGTCCATAGACAATGTCTAGGACTCCCAGAGCAACTCCTTCCCAACTGTGTACCACTGTGCTGTTACTTCTACTGACCCTGTCCTGCCAGTGGGACAGGACATATCCAGGGATGATGATGGTGGTGTCTGAGAAAATGTAAGGAATGATTGTGTGAGTACGACTGTCAGGCTATTGCTTGACTAGTCTGTGAGACAGCTTTCCCAATTCTAGCACTAGACCCCTAGTGTTAGTAAGGAGGACTTTGCAGGGTTGGCAGAGCAGTTTCTGCCTTTGCAGAAATCTCATTTAAGCTCATTCCCAATCAATATAGAACATAGAACAGTACAGAACAATACAGGCCCTTCGGCCCACGATGTTGTGCCGACCTAATATCCTACTCTAAGATCAATCTACCCTGCACACCCTACATTTTACTATCCTCCATGTGCCTATCCAAGAGTCACTTAAAAGTCTCTAAAGTATCTGACCCCACTACCACTGCCGGCAGCGCATTCCACACGACCACCACTCTCTGTGTGAAGAACCCGCCTCTGACATCTCCTCTATATCTTCCTCCAATCACTTTAAAATTGTGCCCCCTCGTAATAGTCAATTCCGCCCTGGGAAAAAGTCTCTGACTATCCACTTTATCCATGCCTCTCATCATCTTGTACACCTCTATCAAGTCATCTCTCATCCTTCTTTGCTCCAATGAGAAAAGTCCTAGCTCCCTCAACCTTTCCTCATAAAACTTGCCCTCCAGTCCAGGCAGCATCCTGATTAATCTCCTCTGCACCCTCTCTAAAGCTTCCACATCGTTCCTATAGTGAGGTGACCAGAACTGAACACAATATTCCAAGTGTGGTCTAACCAAAGTTTTATAGAGCTGCAGCATAACCTCACGGCTCTTAAACTCAATTCCCCTGCCAGTGAAAGCCAAAATGCCATACGCCTTCTTTACAACCCTATCAACTTGGGTAGCAACTTTAAGGGATCTATGGATTTGGACCCCAAGATCCCGCTGTTCCTCCACACTGCCGAGAATCCTGCCATTAAACCTGTATTCTGCATTCAAATTTGACCTTCCAAAATGAATCACTTCACACTTTTCTGGGTTGAATTCCATCTGCCACTTCTTTGCCCAGCTCTGCATCCTGTAAATGTCCCGTTGCAACCTACAACAGTCCTCCACACTGTCCACAACTCCACCACCTTCGTGTCATCAGCAAACTTACTAACCCACCCTTCCACTTCCTCATCCAAGTCATTTATAAAAATCACAAAGAGCACAAGTCCCAGTACAGATCCCTGTGGAACACCACTGGTCAACGAGCTCCAGGCTGAATGGTTTCCATCTACTACCACCCTCTGTCTTCTTTGGACGGCCAATTCTGTATCCAGACAGCCAAATTTCCCTGCATCCCGTGCCTCTTACTTTCTGAATGAGCCTACCATGGGGAACCTTATCAAATGCCTTACTAAAATCAATCAGAGAGAAGTTCCTCCCTTGATTCAAATGAAATGCTTGAACATTAATGTGGATGCCTCTGTCTTTCTCCATGGTCCCATGTCCCTCCTACTTCTCCCCTTCCCCCACGCCTGCAAACACAGCCAATTTGCCAGCATTGAAAAGGCAAGTATAAATGGTGTCTGAAATTTCAGATCCTCTATACACTACACATGGAAACTGCCACCCCACCCTCCACTCCCCGGCCACCCCTGTCATTGCATGCGCTCAACATTGCAAGACCTTGTCATTACAAGTTTCAAAGAAGCTAACTGTAGTCATACAAAAGAAAACATTTTTTTGAAGCTGAAACAAAAACAGAAGTTGCTGGAAATGTCAGCAAGTCTGGCAGCACTTGTGAAGAAAAACATCAGAGTTCACGTTTCGGGTTCGGTGACCCTTCCTCAGAACCCGAAACGTTAACTCTGATTTTTTTCTTCACTGATACTGCCAGACCTGCTGAGCTTTTCCAGCAACTTCTGTGTTTATTCCTGATTTAAAGTATCTGCAGTTCTTTCAGTTTTTATTTTGTTGAAGCTTTTTCCTGTTGCACTCATCACAATTCAGAAGAATAATGAAAGCAAAAGGAAGACAGTTTTCATATTGCATGAATGAAGAACACTGAAGGTTTGGCAAGTGGACTCTAATTATTAAAGGCATTGCCATGGAGAATGTAACACTTGATAATGACAATCTCAATAATATTCAAATTCCGTAGTACTAAATGACTATTTGCAAGATGGTCTTGTTATACGGAACAAGGCCAAGATTTTCCAACACTGATCTCCCAAGCAGAAGTGGCATTTCATAAAGGTTGCATGATCAACACCTTTCGTTTTGAAGTTCGCCACAGTGATATTCCAAAGCCATTCTTCCTATGAGATACCAAGGTGTAGAGCTGGATGAACACAGCAGGCCAAGCAGCATCAGAGGAGCAGGAAAGCTGATGTTTCGGGTCTGGACCCTTCTTCAGAAATGGGGGAGGGGAAGGGGATTCTGAAATAAATAGAGAGAGAGGGGAAGGCGGATTGAAGATGGATAAAAGAGCAGATAGGTGGAGAG